GTATATATGTATGTATGTATGTATATATGTATGTATGTATGTATATATAAGACTATATATATAATGTAATATAAAATTAGTAGTGCATATCATAAAATATAATAATGGCATGGAATAGACTGTTGTAGCACTTTGTGTAAATGTAAAAGTGTAAAAAATATTTATGGCTGTTGTGTAGATTAATATAGTGGAATTATACTTGAAATTATCGTTCCTATTTACTGGTACTTCGCGTATGAGTTCTTATTATATGGTTTATAAATATTATATAAGCCTGTTAAAATTATGCCTATAAACAGCCTGAGATAAATAGATAATATTTATATAGTTTAAATTACTCATAAATTTCTATGTATGCCTACATTATGGCCTTACGATGCTCATAGGGCTAGGCCTATGTAGAATTAGTAATAATGATGTAATAATATAGGCAAAGGCATTTCTATTAGTCCTAGGCCTTTGGCAAGTTTAATCCGTTTTTAGAGTTCATTACTATCGCTATCAAATCGGGGTTTTTTTTGTGCGTCCTTCACATATTTAAAATACCAAACTGTACTACACCCTTTTATACCAGAGTTATTAGCCCTATCTTTATTTTAAGAACAACGTAAAGGGCTCTCGTGACGAATAGGTCATAAATTTACCTATCAAGAGGTACCGGTATTAGGAGACTAGGGCGGATCCAGAATTTTTTAAACGAGGGAGCACATATACCTAGATGTAATATAATTATCAGATATATAAATATTCATTAACGTATGGTTTCTATTCATTATACCCTGACTTTTAAGATTTAGTATTTGTATGCCATTTTGTATTTTTTAATGTTAAAGTCAGACTCCGGAGGAAAAAAAGTGTTTTGATATGTTGTAGAACTGATTTTTCAGTTCTACAACATATCAACATTTTTTTTCCTCCGGGGCCTGACTTTAAAAATAAAAGACTGCAACCTGGCAAAACCGGGGTGTGTGTTGCCTCTCGTTCCGCCTCCCTCAATCCTCCCCTTTGAAGAGTTGTTATACTGGCAGTAGGCCTAGGCAAATAACCGTCAGGAACGTTATTTGTATTACAAATATTAATATTATCATTATCAATATGATATTGGTGATAATAAAAATTATTCATATGTTGATGGTTTTCGTTGTACTTTTGATTAATCTATTTAAAAGGTTGGTGATTTTGCACCATGAACATAAAAAATATCTATGTCTAGTCTGACAAATGAGAATAAAATATATATATCTGCATTTGTATCTGAAAGATTACGAATACGAATGAAAGAATACAGCCAATTTCCATTTATAAACACTTTGGTTAAGGGGACACTTAGTGGTACCAAATGTGTTTCCTTAATAGTTGTTCTACTGTACATTAGTAGGCCCAGTAATAATTTTTACAAGTACAAAAATTCTTTATTTCGTCTAAAACAAATTCAAATACAAGATAAACAGAGAAGAAAAAAAGGAACCCTCATGAAGCCCAACGGGGGTTACAAAATAGAGAGGGGCCAAAATGAGTACAAAGTAAGCTAAATTTAAATAATAATAATAATAATAATAATAATAATAATAATAATAATAATAATAATAATAATAATAATAATAATAAAATAATAATAATAATAATAAAATAGTAGTAGCAGAATCTGCACCACCAGTAGTAGTAATGACGTTACTGATGACGATGATAATGAGGATGATGATCTTTCTTTATGTAATGATAATAAATGGTGATATGTTGAACTTCATTGATTATGATCAACCCTTAACATTTTCCGCCTTCAACAGTTCCCGCGGTAGACGTCTCGTGCACTCCTAATCCCTGTCAGAATGGCGGGACGTGTGAACTCTCCGGTAACTCATTCACGTGTAGTTGCCCGAGCAACACTTGGGGTGACAACTGTGAGAATTTAGGAAGTGAGTCTGGTTAAGCCCTTTCCACACCATCGAATTTTATTTTACAAAAACATGTGACATGCTTAAATGTCAACGAAAATTTGATAGCGTGGATGGATGATGTATAACTAATGGTGTCAAATTTTAAGACCTAGGCGTTTAAAAGCTCTATTTTTGGGGTTCATTTTGATTCTTTAAATTATTTTACTTTACTATTTACATTCCTATTTAATTATTCCATCTGCATATTGTTTGAAATTGTGTTCACGGGTTTTTAAATTATAAGTTTCTTATGAATACTTTTGTGTGTTGATTAAGATTGTTTAAGTATAGCTTACCTAAAAATACTTACCTTTTAATTATGATCCGCTACTTTTTTTAAACAAACACATTGATTTCCACATTATCGTGCGTGTTACTACACAAACATTTTTCCACTGGACCTTAAGGCCTGTTTATACTTCAACGATAACGATAAAAAAGTTATTTCTTTTGTTTTCTATATGAACAATCGCTTTTTAGCTTTTTTATCGTTATCTTTATCGTTGAAATAAACAGACCTTTACACTTTTGCTCAATCGACTTGATATATAAAATAATAACTCCCAGCTTAGGAATCTTTTTCAGATTAAAATAACCCGAAATTATTTTGTAAGCTTTAATGTAATGCTATAAACGATGCTATATTGATTAAGACTTCGTAAAAGCTTTTTGTAATCATGAGAAAAGCATTTTAATGTCTACCCTAAATTTGTGTTCTTCTATATTCCTCTGTATTTGATCATTTCGATATTCCACTTATCTTTTCTGTTCTTATCTACATCATTTGTATCTTTTTTTGTCTTAATCTACTTTTATGTCTTGGAATTGGTTTTAAGTAGTTAGTCATCATGGGCCAAGTTATGAACTTTTTTTTAACTTGATTTTACACTATTTTTATTTTTATATTTATTTTTTTTATTTATTCATTCTGAAGTAATTATAAGTAAAAACATTTAAGGATAAAAACACAGAAAATTACAAAAAGCAACTTATTTCCACTGTGGTCCCTAAATGAGAATACTAAAATTACAGACTAATAATAGAACAATAAGGAAACAATACAATAAATATACATTTTCCAACATCAGAGTTAGATTCAACCAAATTCACATCATAGACTTTAAACTACCGTATATATTATTATGAAGTTCAGAAAAATAGTGGTTCTTTATGATTTTTTTAAATGTGTATAAGGATATACCATCACCTTTTAATTATACACTTACGTTAAGATTAGTTAGGCCTATATATAGTAACAGTTTTCATTCGCTCTATTTATCAATGGCTTGTATTTTTTTTAGTACAGTACAATATTTGTACTTTCTTTGACAATTACTTTATGATTCTCACCATCAATTTGGCTCAAACTGTTTATTACATATGACTATTAGCCACCATGTATATAGTCTTATAACCCGAAAGAAAATGATGATGATGATAATATAAGAATGTATAAGCCTAATACATACTCCAAGTATTGAAATGCACGCCATCGTGTTTCGCCATTTCAATACTTGGAGTATGTATTATACTTTCTTATCTGAGATTAATCAGTGGAGCTTTCGGTTTATGATAATATAAATAATGCAGAAATTTATATTATGAATATGTAAACCTTTCCACACTTATGCATACTGTTCTGTATTATAGACATCGTTTCAATTTTTTAATACAACACCTTTATGGTTGTTTTTATCGCCAATTTAAACCTGTCATATTTTCAAGGCCCAAATTTCCCCCAGAAAACCCCTGCAGAGGATTTTTGTCGTGGCATCCATTAGCAATGATATTTCGATATTTAGTGTGGTTTATTGTTGAGAATTATACATAGGACTATAAACATATATAATTATATAATATTGTATGTAAGACTATAATTATATACAGAGTTGTTCATATGATTACATATATAGTCCTATGTACACTCCTGCCCTTATCATTCAACATATAATATATTATATTATATCATATCAACATCTAACTATGTGATTTACAATGGCATTATTTCATATTCATTATTCTTTCTATGCATGAACTGTTGGGAAACACACGCACGCACATACACTCATGTTTAGGCCTATACATATAGGCTTATATACTTTTTATATGCATATAGGGCTATATATATTTTGCCATTGTTTTCTTTTTTTTTTAAATTAAATATTGATATCCTACTTTCATAGGCAAATTGTTTTACTTCAAAAGTTATTACGATTGCGGAGGTTAAGGTATTTCATCTGTAGATGAACTTAAAAGATCGTCCTTTCATTTAAATCGGTGATCCTTAGGTTCGGGATTATTGTTTTTTTCTTGTGCAGTCGACTGTACATAATTCGATGTTACAAATCTGCATACCGTACTAGGAACGAACTTAACCTAATGTGTGAAACTATATTCATTTAAATATTAAGCACTGTGTCTTTTTTATACTATTGAATACCGGTACCATAGTATCTTGTTAAAATACATCCATTGATAAATCATTCCGTTTATTAAACTGTAGGCCTATGCATTAATATGGTAAAATATGAAAAAGAAAACATCAAAATGGAGACAGCTAAATAGTTTTCAATCGTCGGGTCATGCGACTCATAATCGTAAAATAAATCTATTATTAAATCAAAAAAATCATATGAAAAGAAATTGGAAATTATTGATTCGAACACAATAAGGCCTATGTTTTCTCTGCCATGCATCGTCTTTATTTCGTTTCCCTTAGTAACCCTTTCCATTGTCTCCTTGTAATTAAATTCTTTTCTAAAATATCAACATGATTGCAATAATGTCGTAATGGGAAAATCAAAGGATGTGTACTCATTAATTGTTGAGCTCAGTTGGTAAAGTATATGCAAACGGATATCTGAGATCTTGAGTTCGAACGTCGATGGGGACATACGTTTTCTTAAAACAAAATTATCATAAGCAGTGTGT